CCCATCTTCCTTCCAAGGAGTGGCTGGTGGGTTTGAACCACCAGCCTTCTGGTTAGCAGTGAAGTGCTTTAGGCCCTAGGCCACCAGAGCTCCTTCCCTAGAGATACTGCCTTGGAAACCCAAGGAGGGGTCGCCATGAGTTGAAATTGACTGGACAGCAGTGAGTTTGGTTTTGTTTGGGTTTTGGCAGTTGCCAGGTGACAGGACAGTGGCGTCCTCATTCCTCGTGTATCGTCATTTTGTCCTGGAAAGGTCCTGAGCCCTGAAGTGACCTGGTCAGACTTGCATTTTAGAAAGAGACCCCGGGGTGCTTGGGAGTGGGTGAGAGAGACTAGGCTGGGAGACCTGGGGAAGGCTGGGACAAGGGCTTCAGGGCTGGGCTGGCGGGGTGTGGAGAAGGCAACAGACTGATGAAATATCTCAGGGTTAACACCCTCACGGTCGTGCCCCATTCCCTAACACTGTGGGAGTGATGGGTGTGTGGTGGGATCGCGCCCTCCTCAGGGGAGAGCTGGGGGGTGATAGGGCCATGTTCCCTCGTCGCGGGGGGCTGTGGAGGACAGGAGTGATAGGTCGTGACCCTCCTCCCGCGGAACAGGGAGAATGTGACTTCGTGTCACCCCGTGGGGTGGCCGGGAGTGACGGGGCCGTGTTGCCCCTTGGAGGGGGAGGTCAGGGGTGGTGAGCTCGTACCCCCCTCCCCATCTTTTCCTCTCCCCTCCCTCAGGGTGTCGCGCCTGTCCTCGGAGAAGCGCGAGCTGGAGGTGCAGCTGGGCCGCTCGCGCGAGGAAGTGCTGGCCGGGCGCGCGGCGCTCCAGGAGGCCGAGGCTCTGCGCGGGCTCGTGCGCGGCCTGGAGCTGGAGCTGCGGCAGGAGCGCGGCCTGGGGCGCCCGGCGGCTCGCCGCGGCCAGGACTGCCGTCGCCTGGTCAAGGAGGTGAGGGCGGGGCAGCGGCGGGGGCGGCCCTCGGGGCCCGGACCTGGCCTCATCTGCACCTCTGCGGCCTGCCCCCTCCCTGCAGCTTGAGGAGGTGAGGGCGTCGGAGCGCAGCCTGCGCGCGCGGCTGAGGACGCTGAACAGCGAGCTGGCCCTGTACAAGACGGGGTGAGGGCGCGGCGGGGCGGAAGGGCCTGGGGGCGGCCGGGACCTGCAAGGGGGTGAGGGCCGGGTGGGCGGGCCTGCGAGACGCTCCGGAGCCTGCTAGTGGTGGTGGGGCCTGGAGGGCGGGGCCTACCTACCGGTGGGCGGGGCCTGGGAGGTGCTCGGGCACCCGCGGGAGGACTTGGAGCCGGTGGGCGGGCCTGCGAGACGCTCCGGAGCCTGCTAGTGGTGGTGGGGCCTGGAGGGCGGGGCCTACCTACAGGTGGGCGGGGCCTGGGAGGTGCTCTGGCACCCGCGGGAGGACTTGGAGCCGGTGGGCGGGCCAACGAGACGCTCCGGAGCCTGCAGGTGGCTCCGGGGCCGGGTGGGCGGGGACCTGAAGGTGGGCGAGGCCTGGGACTTGGCGGCTGGACTTGGGGTCCAGGGCCGGGTGGGTGGGTGGTGGGTAGAGTCTTGGGAGGCGGGGCGTAGCCTGGAGATCTGCTGGGGCAGGTAGGCGGGGATGGGGGAGGTGGGCGGAGTCTGAAGATGGGCGGTGCTGAGTGTGGGCGGGGCCTAACGGACTGCGGGGGTTCGCGGAAAGACTCCG